CATTTATCGTAATATGTAAAATAATTATTTGTTAATTGGATGTTCTAAAAATATTTTAATCAAAAGTTTATAAAAATTTTTTATTGAAACTATTAATCTGAAAAAGTTTATCTTGCATAAATCAATTTTAGTTATAGTTAAAATTTATTCAATATCTTTTATTATATATTTCTCAATGTTGATCACAGAATAATCTTTTGTATATTGTATATTGTATTTTATTTGAGGTTAATCTTAATTATCAAGTTATACAAATAATAAGTAATCAATTTCAAAAAAAAAGGTCTAAAATAGTTCCTAATTATTAAGCAATGCTAATTAGGAAAATGCTATATTTACAAACTTATAGTATAGTATTAAAGAAATAAATTATTTTACAGAACGTCTTAATTGGGTCTATGCAAAGTTAACTTCTATATAACCCGGCCAGATCTGTTTCAAAGAAAAACTTTATTATAGCCAGACATTTATAAGTGCACACCCTCTCTAAATACACACTTATTCTGGTCTAAATGTAACTTAACCTCCATAAATGCACTTTTTCTTATTCTCTAAATGCATGTTGTTAAAGTGTGGTCTCAAAGGAGTGCACTTAAAAGTCTGACTGCATAAAAAAAAAAAACTTGACCAAAAGTTTTTATATTTTCTAGGCAAAAAAGCCAGCCGGGTAGATCATTTAAAATTCATATATGTAAAACAATTAACATTGAATAGCCCTAAAGAAATTAGAGTATTAAAAAAAAAAGAAAAAACTATAAATACAGAAAGATATATATAAATATATATACTAATTTCAAAAGCTTATAAATCAAATAATTGTTTAAAAAAGGTCTTAAATAATTCCATTTCATCGTTGTTACACATAAAGTCCTTAAAAAATTATGGCAATGTTTACCTATTTACGAGGCAATATAATGCTATCAGTAGGTAATTCCACTTCATTATCTCCATCAGGCGAAAAGAAAAAGTTTCCATCTTTTTCGCTTAAATTATTCACTCTATAATCAGATTCTTCAGTGTTATCACTGTATGTAGTTTCAGATGCCTCGGAAGATGATGAGTTCGACTGAGTACCAGATGAAAATGACTGCTGAATCAATGTAGAATAATTTGAAAATCCCAATGAAACATTGCTTTTATTATTCAATGTTGTGAATTTTGACGCTGCTATAGTAGGAATATTATTTGCAATGTGGATGTGGTATGCATCCTCAAAAGATAAAGGTGTTGTAGCTAAA